TGAAGATATTTTTTGATGACACAAAATGCCAAAAACTAAAAGCAATGGCTGTGTTCTAGAAGAAGTAGTACAAGGGAGACATAGGTTTCCTGTTTTGACAAAATGGTACAATATAAATGACAGAAAAATAACTTAATTCCCATTTTCAGGATAGACCACAGTAAACAAAAATAGTCCTGTTCCTGTCTAAAATCAATCATTTTACTTGTGCATTAGATGCCATCCCTTTCTAGCTAGCCCCACACATAACTTCAGTGATTCTCCCCTTTCTTTCCTATACCACCAATTCTCTCTTTTCCAAATTGCTTTCTTCAAAACCAGACATGCACTAATTTCTCCTATTTAAAAGAACACATCAAACAACAAAAAAATCCTTCATGTAACCTCAGGTCTCCAGGTATTACCTCATATCTCTGTTCCCCTTTGCAGTTAAACTCATGGCAAAAGTTTTTCCTATAATTACAATTTTTCTACTTCCATTTTCTTTTTTTTTAAGTCTACACTAGTCAGGTTTTCATCCCTACTACTCCACAGAAACAGCTCTTATAATAGTCACCAATGACCACCACATTGCTGAATTTATGATTCAGTTTGTTCTCAGTTCAACTGATGATTTAATAGCAGGAGTTGATCACCTTTCTCTATCCCTTTATTTGGTTTCCCGGACACCAAGTTCTGATTTCTATCTTACTTTACTGGTCATTGCTTCTCAGTATCCTTTGTTGGTTTCTCTTCATTTTGGAAACTTCTTGAGTCCATAATCCTCTTCTGTGCCATGTATATATTTAACTCTGTGGAGAACTACATGGTTTTAAATGCCATTTACATGTACTACACATATGTTGACAGCTGGCAAATATGTACCTCTAGGGTGGAGCTCTCTCCTTTTGATATGTATATCCAACTGTCTATTATAGTCTTCTCTATTTCTATGTGGATGTGTCAAAGACATTCCAAATTTAAGTGCTACTTTATTTGCCCCCAAACCTGCACTGTTCTCCATCTTAAATAGCTGGCAACTTCATTTTTTTAACTGAGAAATAAAAAGTCCCAAGAGTCGTTTTGGATCCCTTTTGTTCCCTCTTATACTCCATATCTAAAGTCTGGTAGAGAATTCTCTTGGCTGTCACTTCAAAATACATTCAGCATCCACTCACTTGTCAACATCTCTGCTACTACACAGTGTGAGCTGAGTTCATTTCTCACCTGGACTAACCCAGCAGCCCTTAATTGGTTGCCCTGCTTCCATCCTTGTCTCCCTACAATATATGTTCAACAGTAACATTTTAAAGGGTAAGCAAGATCAAGCTGCTCCTAGGCACATTTCTTTCAATGTCTCCCCATTTCACTCAGAGTAGAAATCAACATCCCTACAGAGGTCCAGCTTTCTGTTTCCTCAAGGCCATCCTCTGGTACTCACTTTACTCCAACCGTGTTGGCAGTCCCGCTGTTAAAATGTCCCACAGAAAGCTGTCTTACGGTCACAGCCTGCTGCTGGGCACTCCTTTCCCTAGTTATCCTGTCTAAATCTTTCAATTTCTTCTAGCCTTTCCTCAAACCTCAACTCTAAAGGGCCTCCTTGGGGTACCCAAATGAAAATTACAATCTCCTTCTCCTATATTCCTAAGGTATCTGCCTTCATTTTTTCTCCACAGTACTTATTATCTTTTATCTTTTTGGGGGGATACTGAAATAACTGAAAGCATGGAATCACAGAACCACTGCTGATAATCTTGGAGGTATACTAACATGTAAGGAAAAATGCCTAAGAGCATATTCTTGAGTTTCATAAAACAAAGGGAAGGTAAATTAGAGAAAAAGGTACATTTAGAATAATGGGCAAAATTCTGAACTCAGTATTACTAATAGTTCATCAACAGTTAGGAAGTGGTAGTCACCAGGAACTAGGAAGATTTCACAAAGAACAAGTTACATGAAAAGATCTTTTCAGCAATGACCAGTCTGCTTTGTGGGTGCAATGGTGCTATGGTTTGAATTAGAAGTACAGGTAATGACTCCCACTGCAAAGGTCTACATGTTAGAGGTGCGGTCCCTACAGTAGCACCATTAAGAAGTGCAGCCTTATGGACAGTCCTTATGGGCAGTCACTGAGAATGTTGACTAGTGCATAGGGGTTCCCAAAGACTTCAGATTGAGAGGAAATAAAACCACGAGAAAAGATCATCCATGATGCATAAAGTGCCACAACATAGGAAATTTAAAAATTTCTGTGAAAATAAGAAAACCAATAGTATAAAAATGGTCATCAGTGGAGTTTAGATTTTAGAATCAACTTTACCTTATTATAGTCAGGCAATGTAACATCTCCACTATAATTAATACTCATCAACACTGTGGTTTGTGAGAATTATTGGGTCTACATAATCATATATATATAAAAAGAGAGCATGCCCTGCTTTTTAAAAAAAAAGCTTTAAAAGTTAATGAATGTTCACTATAACATACCCATAACTTTAAAATGTAATGCTATTAAAAAAGTAATTATTTAAAAACAGTTTTATTGTTTAAGTCTTAAAATATTTTTATTAAGTTTTAATATTTAAAATGTTATTCAACTCTCATTCTGGTGAGACATTGGTACAATTACTTTAGAATTTGATTTTTTGAAGCTGAAAATACAACTATTGTCCAGAAAGTCCAACATTAGACAACCATTCTAGGTTAGTGGTTTTCACAATTATTGAGTATCCCTTGAAATTAAAGAGAAAAAAAAAATTAAAGAGAAAAGCCTATATTCTCCTTCTCACACTTTTATGTTGATATTGTTGCAAAAGATATGATATTCATTACAATAATAAAATAATAAACCATAATAAATATTGACACTTGAAAATCACTATTTTAAGTGTATCCAGTGTCCAGGCACAGAAATACTGTTATGATCTCACCTGTATACAAATCCACAAAAATAGAGAGTAAATGGTAGTTACCAAGGGCAAAGGTGGGGGTGGAATGAGATGAGGATACATTGGTCAAAGGGTAAAACATTTTAGTTAAACATGAGAAACATGTTTTTGAGATCTATTGCATAGTCTGGCTATTATGGTTAACACTAATACATATTCTTAAACTGCTAAGAAATTATAAATGCTCACATCATACACATGAAAAAGATATGTGAGGTGACAGGCTAATTAGCTTGATTTAATAATTCAATAATGTATTTGTACACAAAAACATTATTATACTCTACAAATGTGTACAATTATTATTTGTCAACTAAAAACTTAAAAATCCATCCAATGAATTCTTAATACCACAGGGATTTTATAGTCTCAATTATGTATTTAAAATGTACATGAAAAGGCTCTTTAACAGTTAGATTTTTTGATTTTCAATTTGAATTATTATTTCTATTTCATTTCCTCATTGAATTTTATCCTGATTGAATATATTTTTTGCTTAAAAGTATTTGATTATTCCATTGTAAATTTTCTACAAATATTTGCATGAATTCAAATCTAAAAAATATACTTTAGTTTTCTGTTACCCTAAGAGTAAGTTCTTCAATTACTATTAAGATTACTTAATACATAATTGATTATAAGTTATTAGTTATAATGATTTTAATCTAAATGTAATATTTGGTGAATAATCACTGAATACAAGAAGTAAAATATTTTTGCAAGTCCATTGCAATGATACGGTTGAGTTTCTTTTCTTTAGTTGGTCAATGTAACTGTGGATAAGTAGTACTCACTGCTGCAATGAGGGAGGGAGCTGAGGGATCAATTTATACTGTATTATTCTTTTGGGGGGGGGTATTGGGGACTGAAATCAAGACCTTGCACTTGCGAGGCAGGCACCAGAACCACTAAGCTAAATCCCTGACCCTATACTGTACTATTCTTTTGGATTAATTTTTCCTAAAGATTGTTTCCTGGTGCACTTATAATGACTCATTATTTATTATCCAATGTCTAAATTTTCAAGTTTATCCTTTAAGATCCTTTGGTGGTTGGTCTTACTCTGCCTATTCAACATTATTATCTCCTACTACCTTCTACTAAGGACCCTGTTCTAATCAAACTTTCTTTTCTTTGTCCCCTCCAAATATTTGGTAACTCCCTTAGTGCTTCCTCTCCTTCCTATGGCACATTTATTTATGGTCTCCACCTCCATAGATATCATCTGTCCAGTAGGTATCTTATCTTCTGCAAAATCTTTCTTGGCTGCAGCTACCCTTTCTCTGTCTTTCTCATATTTTCTTCTTTTTGCCCTTAATAGCCTGTATAATACAGGTAGTACCTGATTATGTACTGTTCTGTACCTTTCTAACCTTAATTATATATCACATATAATTTAGTATTTTACTATACATTTTTTTCTTCTGTAATTTTCACATCTTGTCAACCAGACCATAATTTGTTCCTATTATTAGCTTTCTATGAGAAATGCTATGATCTTTTCTACAAGCCCGGAGGGATTTCTGAACCAAGTGAAAAGGAATTAGAGGTATAACTAATGGTTTTCAAGTTCCTCACATTTTTTCATCCACTGATGCTGAAAACAGGCATAACTGTCCTTCTGTGACAACAAGCATGCTAGAGATCAAACATCAGGAGGAATGTATTTGTAAGAATGAAAAGAAATTCTTTATAGGTTATTAAGAGTTTAAAATTGCTCTACTTAAAAGATCTTTTCATCCACAAGATGGACTATTCAAGATCTGGAATTTTCTTGAAGAACACAAATCTTACAATTCTAGGTTTTCATAAAATCAAGACTGACTCCTCAGCTGAGCCACTCAATAGCAGACTGAAATGTCTCTGTCTCTTCATACCTTTTATTTCCTCTACTGGTAGGACTATTCAAGAATTTAACAGACTATTTTTGTGGTGCATGTTCTCAATGGGCCCTTTGATAAATTCAGGAATAAGTCTTTTCAATAATGGTGGAAGGCAATGAAGGCATTATCAATAGTCAGAACCACCACCAGATTCTAACATGACTTTGCTTAACTACTAACAAGGCTCTACCTGTAGGCTACAGAGCAGGTGTCCTTGTACTCTTGGAGCTTCACGCACACCATGTTGAGGAACTGATCGGAATATGCACTCAAGTCATGCATCAGGTTCATGAGGTCTTGCACTGTCTTCTCCACAATGATTGTGCTCTGGAAACACATAAAAAGAGAGGACACTGAAGCTCATGAGATTTCTGTATGCAAATAATGAGTAGCACAAATTAAAGGATATCATAATTTAAGACACTTGAGCTTTCCAGAAGGACATAATATTTTAAAATAGGGACTAAAATTAACAAGAAAATAAGTATCTTACATAGTGCTGATTTTCCAAAGATCCAAGAAGGTGTTTTCCCTGGAATTATCCAGGATAGGGATTTTCAAATTCCGATTTATTTCATGGAATTTTTGGCATCTATTTGTGTTTGTGTGTGTGTGTGTGTGTGTGTATGTGTGTGTGTGTTTAAAGAAAATGAATATCCAGTGGGAGCCTGATTATCACCCCCAGGGTTCTACTTGAGGGTGGAACTTATGATACACAACACAAAGAAAAGTTTCAGAACTATCAATCTATTAAGAACAACTAACATTTTTGTTGAATCTTACAGCTTTTAGAATGTTTTTTCCAATATACAGCATATGTTATCTCACTTAAGAAGCTCATAATTATCATGATTACCATGAACATTTATAGGGTTCTTATAAGTGCAAGGTATAATGCTAGGCACTCTGATTTAGCTCACTGAATCATGTCGACATTCCTACCTATCAGGCAGACACGACAATCACCTCTACTTACAAATGAGTAATGAGACTCAGAGACATGAAACACAAAAAACAAGAGCTCCAGGTTTTATTTTTTTCACCTTACCATTCTGCCACAGGGGCAGGCCTTAGTTCTTCTGCCCATAGCCCATTTTCTCACAAGGTCTTAGTATTTCATATTTGTGTTAGTCAACTTTCTGACACAGTAATAAATAACTGATCAACTTACACAGACAGTTTTTTGGGGGTTTTTTGGATCTCAGTTTGGAGGTTTCAGTCCATCATTTACTGGCCCTGATACTCTGGGCATGAGGTGATGCAGTACATCCTGGCAGAAGTACATGGTAGAGCAAAACTCATAGCCAGACACAGAAGAGAGGAAGAAGAGGCTGAGTTTTCACAGTTTTCTTCAAGGGTATGCCCTCAATAGCCAGAAACCTCCTACCAGACCCCCACCTCTTAAGGACTCTACAGTCTCCCAATAGCACCACCCTGGAGAACAAGTCTTTAACATATGGGCAGTTGGGAGAACTTTACAAATTCAAACTATAGCAATATTATTGTCACCATTGTGTAAGCAAGGTCAAACAGACTCAGACATATTTTAAAACTGAATTAAAGAACTACCTAAGCAAAAAATAATAAGCCCATCTTAAGCCTTGAGACAGATAGTACTGTGCAACAAATCAGTGTTGTATCTGAAAAGAGGCACATTCAATAAACTCGATATCTTTGATTAAGAAAAGACTGAGGCATTTAAACCTTTAGTTCATTCCTCTTTCAAAAGTAACAGAATTACAATGGAATAAATATTAATCACATGCTTGGCAGTCTGGAATCCTTTGGTAATAAGTGTGTTGGATGTTTATTTATACAAAATTACATAGGAGACTTAGTCATAAAAATAAACATTAAAAATACTTTTCTAGTCTGACAGTAACTTACTAAGGAATCAGAGGTTATTTTTATTATATTTAAAGACAGACCATGGGGTACAAGATTTTGGGTAATATTTTCTAAAAATAAAAATATCTGTCAACACAATAGAGGATTAATTTGAATAGTGATTTATATTTGAATGCTTGTTCAAGATTATTTGGTTGTAGAGGCATTTGGTTTTTTTCCCCCTTCCCTTCTCTTTCTATCCCTAGAAAAATAATTAGATGAAGAGAAGGAGCAGTTATATTCTGTAAGGCAAACCTCATAGAAAACCAAATTACAGTCTCGATAGAATCCCAAGTTCAACTTCCTTTTCTGTATTGATTTTAAGATTAAAGCACTGCAGCTTCACCCTGATCCATAATCCCATTCCTCTGTATTTGTGTGTGAGTGACAGGAATTGATTCTGCCCGGCTACATGTCCCATACTAAGAATTTAAAATCCCCTTCCTGATTCAGAAACAGGATATTCTACAGCAAGTGGACAGCAATTAATAAAGGACAGCCATCCTAACAAAGCCTGTTTAAACCCTAAAACATTGCAGGGAAGATGAGCATGGAGAGATTACTCCAATTATTAGGAAAAGGGGCCTGATTCCATTCCCAATTACACTCTTGATATCATCTCTGAGGTAGTTTGGGAGCCCCTTTCTTTTCTTATGACTCAATTTAGCCCTCTAATAACCAAGGATAATTTGATTGCTTCTTTATTGGCCCACATGATGCATGTATTCAATTTGTGCATTGGCACTTTGACACCAGCTGAATTACTGTGCCACTGTTCTGGAGTCATCACAGGTGTGTTTGGCCTTTCTGACCAGATTATTAACTTCTCAAGAGGGATCAGCATTCTCCTTTTCTTTTTATCCATCTCTCATCTTTCCCTTTCTCCACTTGTTTGTAATTTCTTGGGATCTTCAAGAAAATACCACTAATAAAAGAATGCTCATATGCAAAAATAAACCTCTCTTAATGTCTTGCACATGAAGGGTGTGAGGCACATATCTCTGCATTAGGAAATCTCTGTGAGTGAAGTAGGTTTCCTCTGTATTTGTTGCAGTGCTCTCAGGTACCAACAATGCACTGATGGCATTTGGAAGGGAAAAGGTGACTGAAAACACTGGTGCATATCCCCTAGAGATTACGGATTTGAGGGCAAACAGGAAGTATCAGCAAGGAATGAGTAGAATGGCATAGTTTAATTCTAAAGGCTATGTCCAATATGGTACCTATGCAATGCTATATGATTATATACAATTTTCCAGTTATTTGGTTGGTTTACCTTGTCACTGTAGCACTCTGGATAATCAATCACTACATTGTCTTTAAGAAAAATGACACTGCAGCTTGGAAAATGATGGCAATTTTTATATGAAAAGAAGTTCTCATTTTTCAAGAATTTATAACAATTTGTAAATCAGTGGCTCTAGCATATAAATGTTGAAAATATTAAATTTCAAACAAGGTCAATCTTATTTTACTTATTTGATCTGTTTGGGATCTCAAAAGGTTTCCTGACTCATTATTAATTTTTAGATTTGCTAATGCTGAATATAAGGAATTCATAAGAAGTAAAACCCTGATTTTATTCATCATGATTTCTATTAAACACATTAAAAATGAGTGATATTTATTTAGAACCAATTCAACTGAAATTTCTGACAATTTATTAGCAGGTAATAAAATCTGGGTATAACAAAAAATAAAGGGAAAAATGCCAGGACAGTTGATGCAATAAAAAATTGCTATTAAAAATAAACAACTAAAGTTTATTACAGGGATACAATAGCCATATCGAGCAGAAAATGGGTATATAAAAACCAGCTCATTAGTTCTGCACTTGCCTAGCATGCACAAGGCCCTAGGTTAGATCTCCAGCACTGCAAAAATAAACATGAAAATAAGATGGATAAAAGTCTGGCATGAGTAAGTAACCACTTGAGCTAAAGCCAACTCACAAATAAAAATATTAGGAATAAAGATGACAGGACCTTTGACACCTTGTCCATTATTTGCCAGAATGGAGCTCTGCAGCGTGATACTAATAATATTAATTGGAAAATTGGCTCCAAGCTCAAATAATAGTGAGTTAAAGAAAACAAAAGTGGTTCCTTTATTGGAAGACTGAAAATCTTTAATATGGTAATGTCACTGTAAATCTTAATGTGCTAAATATAGGGTTTACCTTCCTACAACGAATGAAATTTAAAAAACTAAAACCATTTTCTCATAAGCCCATCTTTTTACATATATACTGGAATACAGTTTCTAGAACATGGTTTACGAATGTCTCTCTCAGTTCTCTAATTAATTTTACTGTTTTGGACACTAAAGCCCAATGACATGCTTGAGTCACATAAGGAGCACTGACTGATGAGTACAAAGGGAGAATTCAGGTCTCTTCTTTCTGGGTCCACACCCTTTCCCACACACCATGCCTCTTACACTCTGGCCCTGCCTACTTTGTAAGTCTTCTCTCAAGTTCTACTGAGCATGCATACTCCTTACTTCAACTACACAAAGTAATTAGTTATTCCTTGCTTGAATCAGGCTAATTTTTGCCTTTGTGCCTCTTGGTTTCTATGCTTAAAATGCTCTTCCTGCATTATACCTCTCACCCTTGAAGTCAATACAAGGATTACCTAGGTGCTCCAATTTCAATGCCCTTCTTCTGTGCTCCAGGAACTCTCTGGCTAAATAATTTAGAAACTAGCTTCTAAATGGGGTAAGGGAACCACCTGTTAACCTATTTCTTCCACTAGAGTCCTGTACATTCTTTTAGGTCAGTTTCTATAACTTTATATCCCTAACACCTAGCTAAGTATCTGACACACTGCAGGTGCTCGGGAAATGTTTATTAAAGGAGGTAATGCACAGCACATTCTGAACATGGTGAATGACAAGGTCAGAGAGACACAGAGTACAGTGATAATCCTCACTCCTAGGTCAAAAGCTGGACTTGGTTAGACTCAGAACACAACCTCCTTATTATTACACTACTACATCTTAATTTCCAAGGTTGTACAGACTGAACATTTACTGTGGGTGAAAGTCTTAGGTATTTGATGCAATAAACACTAATTTCATCTTATTGTATTATTTTCTATAATAGAGATCCTTTTAATATACAGTAATATCTTGTTTCACAAAAGCTTCAGTCTGCAAACAATTCAATTCACAAACAAGAGTCTTCAGCAAAATTTTGCTTCCTCTCTCAAACTCTGCATTGAGTGACAAATACAACCATGGCCATCTTCCCCATGGAAACGTAAACAAACATAGCCATCTTGCACAAAATCATAAAACAAATTAAGTTTGTATTAATAAGTAAATGTATGAGTTTTAAAGTTTTAAGACATATAAGCAAATTCACAAGTTAGAAAGAAAAATATAACTTTAATTTGGAGAATTGAGTCTCTGTAGGTTTGCTGTTTCTTTTAGCTCTT